GTGGGTTGGCTGGTTGTGCAGGTGGCCACTTAGGAGGTATCAGCAGGTATTGGATTGACTGAAAGTGTTCATCTCCTCCATGCTTTCAGCAGGCTCTCTTGGCTTGAAGGAGGAGGCATGTTTCCTTCCAGCTAACCAGGACCTGGGGATGAGAAGAGGTGGGAGTGCAGCAGCTCCAAGGGCAGCCAAAGGAGTTCAGAGAGGAGCTGGTTGGGCTCAAGGATCACAGAGGTCTCTTCCAACCTCAGTGATTCCATCGGTTGTGCTCTGTTGTTTGGAGGTGCCAGCCCTGTGGAGCCACGTGTGTGACTCGCAGTGAATTGCAGTGCTGGCTGTGGTGAGCAGTGGAGTGATGCAGGATAGGTTGCCTGTCATTGCCCAAACCCTCTGCACCTCAGTTCAGTTCCCACTTGTATACCTGCATTTTGACCTCTGTGGGTCCTTTTTTTCAGATATCCCTAGAATTGTGTCATTTCTGGCCATGTATGATCACAGTTGGTTTTATAGCTTGTCAGCAAAAGCTCAGGACTTCTCTAGGTGGGTTCCAGTGGCAAGTGTTAACCAGGGACTTCTTACCTGTTTCCGTCCAAGCAAGCAGGGACGAGCAGTAATGAGGAGGGAGCGTCCTGATGGATGTCCACCTGCTGGCCTTCAGCACTTCTCTTTGGCATCTCGTTGCTAAATGGGAGTCTTAAACATTGCAGTTGGGCTCATGATCCCGATGGGCCCCTTCCAACTCGGGCTGTTCTATGATTCTACTAAATTCAGCACTTTCCCCAAGCCTCGCTCCTCCCACATTCCTGCTGATCAGGAGCAATGTTAGCAGCAGCATCCTGGTCCCACTCAGCTGGGGCTGTTGTTGGCTTTTTATGCTCCCTCCATAATTCCAACAGTTTTTCATGCCCGGTTTGTTGAATTGTGTTACTAAACTCTGGTAAACAGATTTCTCTGAGAAGTGGCTGCAGTTCAATGGTGGATGAAATAATCTCTTTATATAAATTTGCTTTCAGACCTCTGGGAAAACCAGCGTAATATAATTGTAAGAATATATTTAATATTAAGGTTGTTGTGAATTGTGTTTTTTTGTTATTATTATTTTGAAATTGTTTCTCTTCCTTTTTTCCATCCTTTGTTTTGTGACAGCAGTTTGCCATTTGCAAAATCCTCATGGTGGGATTGGGTTGTTCAGAAATTTGGGAACAAATCAGGGGAGTTGGGCTGGCTGGGTTTGATGCTTCTACCTCCTTCAGAAGCTTAACCAACTTCAATTTTGCAAAAAAGTCTATTTTATAGAGGTGTATATGGTAAGATCCATGGTGGTGAAGACCAAAAGGAAGTGCAGTACTCTTGCAAAGTCCTCTTCCAGTCCTACCAGTGCAGAGGTAGAGCAAGTGTGCTTTGGTCATTTGTTAGTAGGGAACAGTGTCTGTGGTTGCTGCTGTTCAGTAAAATGTAACCTTCCTTCCCAAAGGTTGAAAATAAGCTGCACGTATTTCTAAAATCAGCAGTTCCCTGGATTGGAAAAACAAATGTTCTACAGTGCAGCCTCCTTTAAAAACAGTACTGCATGAGTTGTTGGTTTATGTATTCTTCAATTAATTTTAATTTTTTTAAGTAAAAAAAAAAAAAAAATCACTGGCTTGAAAAGCAGTATATATATTAAGAGAAAACTTGCTAACTGATATAGGAAGATCTAACCCTGGGTCACCTGCAAATCTCTCAAACAAGAGCTGCAGGGCAAGTCCTAATTCCAGAGAGGAAAAGCGAAAATTAAAGCTGTAGCTGGTGACTCCTCCAAGGTACCCGGGGTGCATTCATTCGAGTTCAGTTGATTGTGCTTCTGAATGTCATGGGAGAGGGATGGGAGAGGTCTTCTCAGCCACTTCCCGTCCAAAGCATCTCCATGGAGACAGAGATGGAACCTGATGGTTTGTCAAAAGTTGCTTTTTGTAACCGCAGGCATTCATTAAATAGTAGATGAAGCAGGAGGCAAACTTTTGCATTTTTAACCAACCTACAAAAGGGCCATTTGGAAAATGTGTGTTGTTGAGTCCAGCATTGCTGATATTTTGTGACCTGAGAAACAGGCCATGAATGTGAAGGATTTATTTATCGTTGAGTACTGAAAGAACCACAGCAAACAGCTTACAGCTTCAGCAGTATCAAAGGGACGGTGTCCTTCTGCAGGCACACACAATTCCAGCTTCACTTCAGAGGCTTCGAACGCCTTCTGACCCACAGGAGGTGCCATCCGTGGCCATGGGGCTCCCAGCTGTAGCTGGGCCGTGGCTGAGGGGACTCGTGGATGCTGGGAGGATGGGTGTGAGTTCTCCAGGATGGAAATGACACTCCTGGGAGCGCCTCGACGCGCTCCTCCATCGTTACAAAGCACGCCTTGTGCCTTTTGGGTCATCCTTTACTTTTCCGTTGCGTCCATTTGAAATTCTTCATGGCAGGCATACAGCCATCACAGTTGCAATTCTGTGCCTGATACCTGATTTTTTCCTGATCTCTGATTTTTCTCTGCACAGAATACACAGGCGCCAATTGCTCAGCTCTGCTGCCTCCTACCCTTCTCATCCCCCATAGTGCACGAACCCAGGCTGCTGGGGAGGGGAGAGCAGAGCTGGGCAAGCAGGGAGATAAAGCGTTTTATGTTGAGTACTTTTAACACTGTTCTTAATGTGCTATAAAACTGGATGCTGTGCTTTCTCATGAACTGTGCACAAGAGCAGAAGCGCCGGCTGTAAAGTTGTCGTCGGTTGGGTTTGTTTTATCGTTGCAGGGGCTGCCCAATAATGTGGTCTCGGGAAAGGTAAACAACATAGTTTTAGCAGTGAAAAATATGCCTAATATAAATACAATGGAGTTCATTGCTGCTCAGAACTTGAAAAATACTGTCGTAGTGTTGTGTTTTCCAGTGGAGCTAGCAGAGGAGCGCAGTGCAGCCCTGCAAGCAATATATCTGAGGCAGAGCAAATAGGTAATGCATCTGACGTGGGAGTCTCTGTGGCTTCCTCAGAGAGAAAAGTGCTGTAGCTTTATTTAATTGAGAAAATGAATCAATTACAATGATGTTGCATCATCAAATGCAAGGGAAATAGCAGATATGTCATTACATCGAGTAACAGTGTTAAAAAGTAATTGAGTGTCTTAAGCATTTTGAATCAATTCCAGGTACTGGCACGGATACCTTAATGCAAAATTTATGAAGATGATCTCAAAATAATGTGTTGCCATCAAAATTGTGTAATAAAAGCTGGTAACAATGCGTGTGTGATGAGCACACATCTCCCTCCCTTGGGAGCCGGTCCCTCTGCTCCCATGGGTGCTCAGCATGGGCAATACTGGCGTGTGTGTGGCCATTGCGTTCATTATTCCTATTAGAAATAGGATTTTAAACCTCATACAGATATTGGCTGTGATTGTGTAACAGTGTTGAGGCACCTGTATACGGTCTCACCTCTGGCCCTTTGCATGACAAGATCTATTTTTCCTTTAAAGAATTGAGTGATGCTCTGTTTTGGTGTACAGCTGCATCACCCGTTCATAAAGGGCTTGGAATGGCCCCTGTTGAATAAGCAGAGCCTGTTTTGTCAGTTAGCATCTGAAAGTGAAGCATGAAGACTTTTATTTTCACAATACCTCTTGTTTATTAGCAATAATGCAAAATGGCCACTTTATTCTGTTGGGTTATGATGGGTTGACATAGACCATTAAAGAATATAGTCGGTTATATCCATCTATTTATTTTCTTTTTCATCTTGGAAAAAAAAAAAAAAAAAGAATTATATGCAGAAAGTTTATGTGTGCTTGTTTCCTTACTCCATATGGAAGAGCTTCACTGCATAACAGCAGCTTTTCCTGCCTGTAGAGCTCTGCTGCAGAGCTGGGTGCAGGGGAGAGGGCATCCAGAGCCACTGCAACTCTGCCCCATTCATCACTGCAGAGCGATAGAATGCAGAGTGTGAGATGGAAGGGGCAAGCCTAGCAAACTCTGTTACGTTTCCACGAAAGACTGCATTCTGTTTGCATTGTCATTGTGTTGGGATGCAACTTGGTGCCTGCTTAGGAAAGATGTGTAATTAATTATCCACACCCATTAGAAATGATACACGTGTGCCTGTTGTCAGAATGCCAGCGTGTGTAAACGTTCAAGTACCTGCTCTGTGCTTTGTGTTCGGCTGTAATTCTGCCCTTGTTTCTTTTTGTAATCAAAAGGTGCTTTGGTAGGATGGATTCATTCACAGTGCCCTGTAGGTGCCCAAGTGCTCCGTCCTACAAACTGTTAATTAATTTCCCAACCAGACCAATGGTACAAAATGTGAAAAGGCACAGAGACAACGGGCTGCAACTCTTTCCTTTGCCATTCAAACGCAAAGTTGCTCAAACTTTCCACCTCCCAGATGGCAACGTTCTGCTTGTGGTCAGAGTCAAACCTGGCTGGGATGTGTAGGAAACTTTGGGTAGGAGTGGAGTGTGGGGGGCTTTCCTGAGTAGCAGAGACTTCAACCACATAATTAAAGTTTTCTTCACAAAAAAGGGATTGCGAGCCGGGCCTGGCAGTAATCCAGAATTCTAATTTCTGACTATGATTTAATTTCAATTTTAAATAAATCGGTTTTTAATTTAAAAAGAGTGAGCTTCATAACATTAGCGATGATTGCAACATTAAGCCCAGTGTTCACAATCTAGCAATATAAAACATTATTTATATCTGAATCGTAAACAGCCTTTTGAAATGGATTATGGTTTTTCTTCCTATTCTAATACAACCTGGAGGGTACTAAAAAGTGTTGTGTGAAATTAACATTCTGCTGACTTTCGCCTATAAATGAGAAGCGAGCTATTAACATTTGTGTATTTTCATTATGTAAATTGTGTTAACACATGCCCACAAATTGCCACCAGCGATGCAATAATTTTCTCTCAGTGATCATAATGTGTCCAAGTGAGTCATTTTGATTATGACATGCTAATTACATATTGCCTTTTTTCAGATTCAGAAAAACCAGGGATCTTTAATGGTAAGCTTTATGAGTTCAGAAAAAAATTCACTTTTCTTTTTCCTGATGGCTGCTTCCTCTGCATGCTTGAATGCCTTGTTTTAAACTTAGCAAATTGCATTTTGAAGAAAATGCAAACCTTTAACTGCCTGTATTAGATTAGGTACCATTAGAAATAATAGAACATCCTGAGCATCAATGTTTTTATAAGAGTTTGCTGCTGTTGATTAATCTTGCTATATTTTATTGCATTAATGATTTTTTCTTTCCACTCCACTGTAAAGATATTGCATATAGGCTAATACTTTTTCCCTCTCTCCTTTCCATTGCAGCCTCTCCAGTTATTGCAGTGCATTGTTGATGAGGTGAGTCGTCGTCTTATGTGCTTTCACTCCTAAAGTCATTCCTAATGGAGTGGAAAGCTTATATTTTGTTTCCTAATGAAGCACAATGCCCAACATCCTCAGAGCACGAGTTGCCTGGTACAGCTTGGAGCTGTCGAACGTGAACTGGCTTGGTCCCACTGTATGCTGTTTTGCTGCTCTGAATATCGAGTCCTTGACAAACTGAATGGTCTCAGAGGTTAATCCGCGTGGCTCCTGGGGCCCCAACCTGGCTGTGTGAGCCGATCCAGTAAAAACATCCAGGTACTTTCTCAGGGTGACTGCTGTGAGCTTGCTTTGGTTTTTTAAGTTTTAATAAGGGGATGATGAGAATTAGGAAGCTTGAGCAAGGCAAAGAAGCTGTAACTTTCTGGAGATTCACCTCAGCCTCTAGCAGAACATCCATGCTGCCTCGTCAGGTCGTGGTTGCTGGGTGATGGCATCCCGTTGGACCTTCACTGCATCCCTTTCAACATTTGTTCAGCTGTACACAGGATCATGAATTAAAATGAACATGTATCCTTCGTGTGATGGAGGGGAAGGGAGTTCTCCTGGTCCTGGTGTGCCTCCAGCAGTGCCAACCCTTCTGCCTGGCCCCCAACGCTCTCTGGTTCCTTGAGTGGTTCTCAGACAATTTGCTTCTTCCATCTTTTTCACCCATTGTTATTCCTGTTAGGTATGTCCTTGGAACTCCAAGCCACCAGTGCTGTGTCTGCCAGTAGCAAAAAGGCCATCTCTGTCCTTGAGAGGTGAAGCTGACCTTGCTCGTATTTTCACATGTGTTTTGCTACTGGTAGACTAATTGCTTTTGAATGGGCTAGACATTGCTTTTAAATAACAGTGCCCAAATCAGTGCCACCCCCACCCTGTCCTGCATACAAAGACCTCGGAGCAAAATGTCTGTAATTTATGACTACTGTTTTCCCTCCTCACTTTGTCTTTTTGCCCGTTCTGTGGGATAACAGCAGGACCTGCCTGTTTGCCTCATGCGTGCTCCTCCTTTACACAAGGACCTTTTTGAGAGACAGAGGCTCAGTACTCTCTGGAGCCCTACAGCTGTTGTTGCTACCATGAGTATTAAAGATTAGAAGTGCTCAGTGTTGTAAGACTGATTGCTTGGGGCCAAATGTTCCCCTTGGCTGCAAGGAGGTCCTAAAACTCACAGGAGGCAGAGCAGAGCCCATCCCCAGAGGAACCCAGGCCCTGGTGCAGAATTCCCCGCCTCACTTAATGACGACAGCAGTGAGCAGAGAGGGGCTGCAACCACAGCAGTGTGGTTCTGGATGATATGGAGAGAGCTTGGAAGTTCTTATCCTCTTGTTCCTGGACCGAATTTCTCAATGCACAGCTGTTTTATCCTTTCATGTAGCTTGGAGCTGAGCAATGTATGTCCAGGAAGGATGACCCTCGTGCTCCAGGCTGGCTCCAGGCTTATCTGGAGAGCTGGGAGGTGACTGCAGTAACTGGGGCAGCTGTGGAAGGTTTGCAGCAGACAGGATGGTTATCAGAGGCCTTTGAATAGACTCAGAGTACCTGGTGGAAATGCTATTTTGGAGTATGTGAGACACAGCAAGTCACTCTGGTAGTTTAAAGAGTCTGTCTGCTCTTTTCCAGGGACTTAAATTTACTTTGCATAAATTCTGCAGAAGGAGCAAGGGATTTGGGAAGTGTTGTAAGCCATGCCTGACATGTTTTTTGTTGAGTTATGTGAGCAGGCTTTTAATGGCATTGGTTCTGGGCTGATTGCTCTAATGCCAGGATTAGTGAGAAGCATTGTGTGAATAGGTTGCACGTCTGCCAGACCTTTATTTTTTAACATGTGGTAACATACACTGAAATCTGATCCAGCTACAAATAAGACACGCTCACTTAAGCTACAGTACCCATCATTGCAGCCTCTTCTGCTATGGTAAGGCTCCTGCTGCTGGCCCAGAGATGAGGATAGGCTCACACTGATGCTGTTTGTCCTGCAGTACAGCCAGCAATAAAAGCAGTCTGTTGGTGTTTGAGGTCTGAGAATTCCTTAATATTCCAGCATTCAGCTTAGCTGAGTTGTTTTTGGCTTTTTTTTTTTAATATATTTTTGAAAAGCATATTGAACAAGATAGAAAAGGAACTTGATTTTCGTCCATCAGTTTTGATTAAAACTCCAGAATTAAGTGGACATCAAATCAATTGAATCAGAAGCTTCAGGAGTGAAGACTTCAAAGAGCGAGCCCTGTTTTTGCAAATAGGAGGCAGCACTGAAAAATCTGCATATTTTGGCGAGTCAGGCAGACTTTTAAAAGAAAAATTAATTAGTTGTACTCATGAATCCTTACTGTGACAACTTCGTGAGTGAATAGTGAGGAGCCTTCCATGAGTTTCTTGAACGTTTCTGTTAAGTGCCCCCACAGAGCTACTCGGTCTCACAAGACTGCAGTTTAATCTAGCTCAAGGACTTCCAAACTTCGCAAATCAAAGACCTCTTTTTTTTTTTTCTTCTGTTTAAATCCATCCTCTAGAAACATTTAGCAGATCAGTTAATGCAAGCGTGGTGTTAATGCTGAGCTACGAAGCATGTCAATGTTAATAAATTTTCAATGGAAGAAATAACTTGGGCTGAATACATGTATCCTATGTAGTCATTTCTATTTTTTTTCCTCCTCTTTGTTAAATATATCCCTCTATTTATTGCTGCAGCCTTAAAAATTCACAGCATGTTCAGCTTGATCAAATAGCGCAATGAAGTCCATTGCCTCCTGAGTGCAGAATTTTGTAACACATCAGTGCTGCATTTGGCTGTTGTTATAAATGAAGCTGAAACCTTGAAAGGCTCAGGAAGAAACAAACCTTTGTATTTTTTCTTTGGGAATTTTTGTCTTAGATTCTCGTGTGTTGATTCAAATGCATGGACAGCTGTATTTAACCCTGAAAATGTCTTGGGTTTTTGAAGATTTCTGTGCAGGTTTGAGAAGACGCGTGTGTGCTTGTGTGCGCAGCCCCAAGAATGTGCCCTGGTTTGGGGGTATCCTCTTATTGAGGCAAAATCTGTGACCTTACTAGTGTTTGAGATTCAGGGACTTACATAGGAGCAAGGTAAAACCACAGGTAGGAATTGCTGAATAATTACCTTTAGACCAACCTGAGCAAGAACCTTCCCAAGAGGGCAAGCTCATTTAATGGTTCCTAAAACTCAATCTTGTGGATGTCAATGGTCATGCTTGATTATTTGCAGCAGTGTTTTATGAAAAAGCAATAAAAATGCATTGGGAGTGTACAGAGGAAAAAGGGAACAATAAATGGTTTTAGTTTTTCAATTGGGTCCCTTCGGTGTGAGCAGGTAGAGGCTGTGTTTCATGCTGCTGTGCCTTAGCTATTTGAAATGTGCATATGTGTGTGTATCTACCCAAAACACTGCTGTGCTCTGCTGGCTTATGATCGACAAGAGACCAGCAAGGAGAAGAAAAAATTCTTATGTTTGTTTTAGAGAGAAAGCAATTACAGTTACGGTTAAAGGATTAACCTGTTTTCCAGCTACCTGTACACGATCTGCACGGCCCTTTGGAGAGCCTCACTAACAAGTGCAGGGCTTGGTGAGGGGTGGGGAACGTCGTGTTGGACACTCTAGATTATTCCTAATGTTAATTACACTCTTCAGCTTCTTTCCTTGGCCTCTAAAAAGCATCCCACAGCGGCAAATGCTGCCAAAGAGCTCCAGGTGCTTACTGGCTTCCCACCGCAAGCGCCCGCGTGGGTCCCGTGTGGATGTAGGTTATGTGGACGCCGTGTTGTCTTTGGTTGGGAGCAGGTAGTGCTGCCTGGGAGAACAGCGGGCTGTCCCACGGGGTGAGGTGTGGGAGGCAGGCGGAGGGGTTTGCTGGATAAAACACTGGCCTCTCGACCTTGGTTCCAGTCCAGCCCGAGATCTGGAAATAAATGAGTTCACTGCTGACACTTCAATCCCAGCAGACGGAACTTCACACCGAAATGCCCCCGCGTGTCATTTGTCACATTTGGCACCTGCTACTGAGGAAAGAGCAAGAAGCGACCTGGCGCGGAGATGTAATCATCTTTCACCTTCCTGCCAGGGGTGGGAGCGTAATGGGGACGATCCAGAAATTCTTTCAAGTCGGGGCCTCTGAGCCACCTCCAGACATCATTGCTTTTGCACACTCGTTACTTGCAAGGGCTCACCTGCCATTAGGCTTCTGCGGGGCTTTTGAAGTAGATTGGCTAAAAGTCAGCAATGGGATTTTGTTTAGGAGTGCTTTGAAGGGAAGTTGACCTTGAAGGAGTGAATCTGAACGTGTGTGATATTGTGATTTGCTGCTCTCGTTGGAACGGCTCCGTAACTGCAGTGCATGTATTACACCTAATTGCAACTGGCAGCATTTCAGGTGCAGCTAAAACTTAAGTTTGTCTGAAAAAAAGTCACTTTTTGGCCAGAAAGTAAACAGCAGCTATAGGTGTATTGCTCGAAAGCTTTGGTAAAAACTAGAGCGCACAGATACTCTTCAGTGCCAGGGATTGGAGTAGGCTGAAGTGATGAGCCAAAAATGCTTGGTAAAGCGCACACATTATTTATTAAATACTGCCATTTCAGCATCAGCGGGCGAGTTGCAGAATAGGAGTATCTGCCCAGAGGAGATGATAATTTCAGAGGCAGGGTGTGCTGGGAAGCCCAGAGGACAGAGTAACTGAAGTTTGGTTTGCTCGGCTCTGCTAACTTCCCTCTTGTGGCCATCGAGCCATAGGACCATGGCATTTCCTTCTGCACAAGCCTGCACGCTGCCGAGAGAGTGCTGCAAAATAGCAGCTCTGGAGCTGTGGGAAACGGGAATTTTAACCCTTCAGAGAGAGGTGCTGAGCAGATGAGAAGGTAAAACCTACGTGTGCTGAGCGCACCAACCTCCGCCCAGAAGGTGCAGCTCAGCTCTGCTTGGGGACCTGTGATGGCAAGGAGCCCTAACGTGTAACTGAGGGCTTTGCCGTCGTCCTTTGGAAGGTTTCAAGTAGAACTCTGTGTTTGCTGGTGTTCCTGTCATGGCGAAATGGGGGGCTTTTTCTTCCTTTGGAAAGGACAATGTGATGAATCTCCAGCTTTCAGTTGTTTTGAGAAAATGCTACTCCAGAAACGTTCTGTTTGGGAGAGATGTGTACAACACAGCCTGGTTTTAGTGTACTTGGTCAGTCAGAGATGAATTCCAAGTTCCATTGACGTGTTTCCAAGGCCAGTCAGCTGTGTCTGTTGAATTTCCTTCTTGGGTTTGTCCAGACAAACTTCCAGGGAGGACAGAGAGGAGGAGAAGGAGCCTCATTTATGTTTCTTCCCATCATTTGTGAGTTTGTTGGACAGTACTTATTCTCTAAGCCTCAGCAGAATCTCTGCTGCTGCTGCTCTGCTTAATGGCAGCAAAAGAGATCAAGAGACGTTTCAGATAAGAGATCTGAGGAGTAGGTGGGGATGCAGGAGGTAATGCCATCAGTGCCTTCGGATGCCCTCTCTTTAAAGGGACTGTGCTGTGCTTCTTTCCATGCCTTTGCCTATATAACACAGCTTCCCCCTGCCATGGAAGTCAGTAAGGTGTATACCAGAGCACTGGCATTCTGAGAATTAAATATTAGGAGCCGTGTTTGAAGTTCAAAGCCCTCCCTCCTCCTGCTAGCTCTGATTTTCTGCTGCTGTGTTGTTTTCTTTATGCCTGAGCACCTTGCTGACAAGTGCTAATAATAAAATGCCAAGAGAGGGTCCAGTTGGAGTTACCACACATTAAACATTCTGAACTTGTCCTTTTGCTCATAGATTGTGCATAATTAATAATTAAACGGTTTCAGTTGTAATGGGTTGACCTCCTTGAACTGTTCATTATTCACAAGGCAAAGGCATCACTCAAACTTATCCTGTTGCCCTCCGTATGTGCACAGCACGGCTGGTTCTTATCACAAAGCAATTGCAGAGGCTTCTCCTGCAGCGGGTCCCATTGCAGAGATGCTTTTGGGACAGCAGCTGGCCTTGGGATCAAGCTGCTGGGGGAGGCAGGGTGAACGTTGTTCAGTGTGCAGGTGGGTAAAATAAGGCAGAGCATCGGAGTACAGCCGGAGCATTCCTCGTTGTTCCATCCAGTGTGACTGTATTGTGTCACACCAACGTGGCAGAGGCTGTAGTTTTGTTTTTATTTCCTCTTTTCCATCCCTTTCAGAGTCAGTCAGTCACAGGCTGGGGAACTTCAGGGTACATATAGGCTGTGCTGCTTCTGTGCAGTTTGGGATGTTTTTGCTCTGCACTTGGTGCATTGTGATTGCTTACGTCCCACAGGCAGCAATAGGAGCACTTTCATGGAAATAACTCTAAGTACAAAATACTATTAACTTTCTGCTACTCAAATGTTCTGCAGTGGAACCATGGCAGAAATAGAAGTGTCTCCATTGCTGGTTTCCGTGGCTGGCTGTCAACTGAAGGGGCCATTTCTGTTACTGAGGTCATTTAAAAATGAAACACTGGAGTCAGCTCTCCAGCATCTGCCTTTGGAAGCAGCTGAGGTCCATCCTTGCTTTCCTGGTTCAGCTAAAAGCAGAGCTTCCTTCTCCCATCTTACCCATGCTGTAAAGTAAGGATTGGCTCTTATTTACCCAAGTGAAATTACCTATTTCTACTGATCTGTCTGCCTTCAGACATGCTTCCTAGTGAGCATTTTTTGAGATTGCTGTACTGTCCCCAAAGAGTAGCAATTTGTCCTGCAGATGACTGACAAATATGCAGGACGTCCAACCTAAAATCCCTGGCAGACTGCATTAAAGCATCTCCTTTTCCTGCTGGGATCCAGTCAGTGTTTATCCCACCCCTCACAGTCTGCACTTGAAAGAAGAGTGGCTTCAGAGCTCTCTATCGGCCTCTCCTCGTGAAGCTTCCCTCTATTGCTGGTCCACCATCCCTTGGCAAAGGCAGAAATCTCCCACCCGCTGGCTGTGCAGTGCACTGTGCCCGCCCTGCTGCCCCAACACGTGCTGCTTTGCTCTCATTGCACCTACAGCGTGGGACAGTTGGCTGGGTGCACTCAGACCCCAACAGTGGGCTCCGGTACTTTGCCTTCCCATTTTCACAGCACCCCTTTGCGCACACACAGCTCCTTTCCTGCTTTTGTGCTCTGACCCCATCCCACCTGGGAAGGAGGTGTTGGCCTTTGGCTGCGTGCTGGACAGGAGCAAACGATGGGAGAGCTCAACCTGCTGGGCTGCGGCCCTTGGCGCTCCAGCACTTGGCTCTGTGCTTTCGGTATTAATAAGACTAATTTTCATGCGCAGCTCTTTGAAGTGGAGGAAGTTTAATTGCACTGTTTGTTTCCCTGCGTTCCTTCCGCTCTGCGGTGCAAACCAGCCCATATTGCTGTCATTTATAAGTTGGGAAACAATAACCTCTCCCTCGCCCGGCCTAAGTTCAAAGGGAATTTGGGCATGTTCTATCAAACGCTGCTCGTGGTTAATAGAACTCTGAAAATTGTCAAGCAATTTTGCCTTCTCCTTTTACTCTTCAGTTACTTTTGATTTAATTGTATTTTCCAGCAGTTTCCGATTGTTTGAATTGGAAACAAAGCCTTAATAAGAGTTCTAGTTAATTTTCTGTCTTGTAATTACCGATCTCATTTTTCTGATAATTGGCCACAGCAATTATATGTATATTTACTAATCACATAGGAGGCTCTGCAGTTGTGTCTATCTGCCACCATTGATAATGGCACACACATTGCAGAGGTGCTTTTATCATCTTCTTTTTTCCACTACATCAAAGCTATTTCCTCGCATTCTCAATAATGAATACATGCATGCATTTGACACAGTTGTGTGCTAGAGAAATTGTTTGGCTCCCACCAAATGCTGCACGCTCTGAGTTTCTTGCCTGCAGCGCTGGAAGGTTGTATGTAATGATATATTGCTCATCCAAATGGCCAAAGCACTCCAAAGCACAGTGAGATTAAAATAAGTCATTCCTTTGTTAATTTAAATAGGTGCATGTATCATACTTTGCGGGGTACTTTGTGTAGGGATGTCAGGGAGGAAAAAAGCCGCCGAAAGGTATTTTTAATAGCAAATGAGAATAGATGAGAATGGAGTCATTTGCAGCTGCCTGTTTTATGTGGCTCTCTTGTTCCAACTGTAGGTCTAATGAGATGACACTGTTAAAGTACTCTGCAGTGTAATTTCATTACATCCTGAGCTGTTACACTATAAACACAGTGGAGCTCTCTGTCATTCTTGGAAAAACTCCTAAATTCGTAAAGCCTGTCTTTGTAAATGGGGATGTTGTTTGTTCCCCGTTTGGGTGGAGATTTTTTTCCTTCTGCTCTTCATTTTATTTTCTCTCTTTTTATTCTTTTCCCCCGAATGCCAGGTGCTGGTTTTCACCAGCCTGGTAAATTTTGCCCGTTTTCCCCCTAAAAATGATTTTATTTAGAAAACATTTTAAAATCTGGAACAGCCTTCCTGCTAGGACAGCCTCTAAAATGAATAAGTGTAAATAAACATGAGTGTAAATAAATAGCGAAAGCAGTGAAAGAAACAAAGGTCAACACAAGAATAATTTCACAGCTCTTTGTTAATTACAAGACCATTTGTGTGTTACTTAAATAATCATTAATTTCTCATTTACACTTTCCCTACCTTCCTTTTTACCCTGTGGCTATCATTGTCCTTTTTTCACCTCCCCTCAGTGTCTTTCCACATGTTTTTACCCATTGTGTAATACTCATTAGTCGAAATTCAGTGTTTTTATAACACGTCCTCAGAAGAATCTGTACCTTTCTCTCTCCAATTCTCTGCGTGAAAAGGGAGCTTTGTCGCTTTCTTTCCCCCCCCCCCCCCTTTTTGTCATCGCTGTTGTATTGCTCTCCTTCTAAAAAATGCTCTTCTGACGCTGTTCCTTGTTCCAATCCAACCCAGGAGTCGCCCGTCCTTCCAGCCGGGGAGTTCTCGGAGCCATTTGTACACTTCATCACTCAATGGTAAGCTCCGTTTGCAAACATGCCATGCCCTCGATGTAAATGATACATGCCATTAACTCCGCGGCTCGGCGAGACCTTATGGCTTTCCTTGCATCCGCTCCGAGAGGAGAGGGACTTGGGGGCCTTGGGCAGATGGGGCAGCAAAGCTAAGCAAACTGTTTAAATTATGTAAACGTTATTTACACAAAGGGTCGTAAAAGTACTTACGTGGGTTTTCCCTGTTTTAATAAACCCTGATGTGGGTGCAGAGCAGGCAGTGGGACCGAAGGATTCATTTGGGGGAGAGGGGCCGTGGAGTCCCGGATGTGTCATACCATAATTTAGGGCTTTTTGCAGTATTGCTGATAAAATCACCGCGGTGTTTGGAGAGACAGGCAGCCCTGATTAATTCCTTGGCTTCCCAGTAAGTAATTTTTACTGAGAGTCGTACTTTAAAATGCACTGTTGGGTGTATTTTCTTTCCTTCAAACCGGATTGTCCATTGAAAAGCTTGGAAATGAGAGGAGAATGGGCAAGGAGGAATCTGTGGAATAAAGAACGCACCTCTCTGATGTGTGGGGTGACAGCAGGGTCTGAATGACCCTCAAGTCATTTAGTAGTGACTAGTGGCAGGAGGCTAAGAATATTAAGGGTAAACTCTCCTAACAGAAACAAAGCAAAGGGAAATTTTATTTATTTTTTTCTGCGTGGCAGAATGAACAAGCTCAAATTCTGCACAGGCACGGTGTGTGGGATGGAGGAGCATCCCTCGCAGTGAGCGCGCCCTGATGGGGTGCTCACCTAGATGTGGACGTGGCGGGGTGCCACCCAGGGCTGCGCAGATGGGGGGACTCCTCTCCTTTTGGGGTTCTCTCCACTGAAGCAGGCAGGCAGTGCCCTCAACTCCACGCACTCGTGCCCGTCGGGTTCGTGGCACATTCAGATTGCCTGCTGCCCCAGGGATTCGTGTATTTGTACGTAGTGCGGGGCCGAGATGGGACGCCACAAACATTGCAGAAACCAAAAGCAGTCTGATTATCGGTTAATTAAAGTTCCTAAATAATTAAAGGTTGGATAACGTAGGCTTCCTTTTTCCAATAGTTTCAGCTTACAGGCAGAGCTCTGTGTGGAGGGCTCTGCAGCACCGCCGCTGTGCGTGGGGCTGTGCATTTTTAATTCCTTCCGAGGGCAATGACGGACTGCTTGGAAAAAAAAACAGCCCTCGTTCAGGCAGGGGGAGGGATAACCCGTGTTCAAATTTCCACAGATGTCAAAGTGAAGCATAACTGATGGTGGCTAATAGCCTGCCTTTCCCCGGGGATGCGGCTACTTTGGGCTGTCAGATTAGAGCTGCTCCCAGCCTGCGTCGGCGCCCGCTGTTACCTGCATTGTTCCAGTTATTTGTGGGGAATGTTTGGTGATTTCCTTATCTGTCGGGAGGGTAAATCATATCTGAACTCCTCCTAATTGCAACGCAGTTCATCCAGGATTGCTGAGATAGTGTTCTATCGGCTGTACTGCAGGCAGCTCTTTTCAGAAGGGGGCATTACTGTTTAAAAATGCACTATGCGAGAAAGAAATTGCACTGTGGACTATTTAAGCAATCAATTTCTAATAAGTATTAGAGATGTCAAGTGAGCAGCACACAGGACTTGATGCCAGTTCCACCATAAACACTGCTGCTTGGATGTAATCCAATTAGTCAGTAGGCAGCTCCTGATGGTCACCTCTGTGCCATGTTATTGTGTTCCTTCATGCAGCTAAGCACAGTTTTCAATAGCTAATTGCACCTGTTGCACAGAAAACTAGGACTATTTGGATGAGAAACATGATCTTATAAACAGCTTAATGCTGTGTAATGAACTATCACCCTGCAGTGTAATGGAAATGAATGGGAAAAAATTAAGGTAGAAACCCCGGGGTATTGTGTGTTCTCCTGAAGCTGCTCAGTGTTGGAGTTAAATTTCCCACCTGTTTGGATAATATGTTGTGCCGAGCTATGTAATAATCCCCAGCAAAACGAGAAGCATCTTCCTATGCCTTCTGAGCTGATTGGTTTGCAGTGATCTTCATATCCACACGTGCTCATGGCTGCAAGCAGGGCAGGCCATGAAATAGAAGGGAAGCTGTTGTCACTGCATCTCTTGCCCGGGTAAGTAGGCACTTGGAGAAGGATATCAGTAGGTATGACACATTTCAGAGCTGGTGAAAGGAACCTGTGCCTGTGTAGGGGACTTCAAAGACATGCAGAGAAAAGTTGAAAGTTGGGCAGCTGTCAGCAGAACACTCAGAATGGAGAAATGCTGGCCACAAGGGATGGGTGGAGGGGGAGGTTGGGCCACGTCTTGGCCACCATTGGGAGCCGTGTCTTCTGTCAGCCTGTGATCAAGTTAAGAAATAGATGGAGATTCTGGGCACGGTCTGTCTGTGTTAAAAGAGGATGTCTTCAATACTAAAGCAAATGGAATAAATAAACATCTGTTTATATGTGAATGTTTTCTTTTGTGATATGTAGTATGAAAAAGCAACCTAAGGAAAGACCAGCACCTGAAGATTTAATGGTAAGTGAAACTTCAGAGCCTCTGGTATTACTTTTCTCTCAATGTTTCTTATTAATATATACATGAGTAGAGTTTTGGGGTTTTCTTGTTGGTTTACTGTTGCTTTTTTTTAATTATTATCATTAATTTTGGGGGGCTTGCGTTATTTTTTTGCATGTTTCAGCGTGTACAAATATGAACTATTTTGGGCTTGTGAAGCAATTGCACAGTTACATAGAGCACACAAAGGGTGGAATTCTGATCCCAGTGCAGTTAATGGATATTTTGCTGTTCCCTTTGTTGTGGCCAAAGCTGCACTTGTGATTTGGGCAGTCGATACAGAACTTTCACAGGCAGCATCAATTTCCAGTCAGAACCATTTTGATGCTCGATACACCGTTCTTTCAGTTTGTATGTCCAGGGATTACAGCTTGATGTAGGTCATGCCTTGTCATCATTTGCCAGCCTTAACCTTTCAAAATCTGAAGATTGAAAACTGGACATTTGGTCAAAGCAGCGTATTTTTAACGACGTGCAGGAGCTCCTGTTTTCACTCGTATTCATGTAAAATGGGATTAGATTGGCTACAGCAGGTTGAGTTAATAGGTAGCTTCGGTTTTCTCATAGAAGGGCTCTCAGCATTGGAATCTGAGCTCAGAGACCTCTTCCTTTTCTTGTGCCTGTCATTGTTTCAGGAAGGTGAGGACAGGTTGCCTGCTCCCAGGATGGCCTGCCATGGCTGTGCATTTGGTGCACAGTACTGTTATTGAGCTGCTAAAAAAATACAGAATATTTGCAGTAAATGCTGCTGGAGGTAGGAGTTGTAGCCTGCTCTGAATCGCATCAAATAGCTTTGATTTTTAAGGGTTTGTTACTTTCTTCCTGTGCTGCATTTCCTGTCACTTGGAGATTGGCGTAAAGTCATCATCATTTATTTTCTCTGCATTGACTATGTGGAAATAATTTCAGCAGACTTCAGTGAGATACGGAGCGTGTTTGCATCATTTCCTTTCTTGTTTACATTCTGCAATCTACAAGGAAAGATAAAAACCCAGTGTTTCTACTGCAGCCATTCTCTAGTTAAAGGCCAGTCTCCAGAGATGCCCTGGGGCAGGTAGTGCACGATCCAGGCTAGCCTCAATTTAGACCCTGGTTAATGAAGTGTTTAACTCTGGGTCTCATTTTAAGGATGTTAACTTCAATAGGTTTACCTTTGGAGTTCGGCACCCACTGTAACGCCTCAGCAGGATGAGGCCCTCAAGTTTCTCAGAGCCCCTCTGAGATGGTGATGTGCATCTCACATGGAAGGCTTCTGCTGCCTTATTTTGTCTTTTTTTTATTAACTTTTGATGGTTGGGAAATTCTTGCAGTTAGTCACATCTGAGAAAACTTGGAACAGGTTCTAGAAATGTAGACACATTTACATTGTGCACTATTATGCTATGGCTGGATAGCTTAGCTATTAAAACAACGGAATAGGGTTTCATAAAACCTATATCTCTTTGTAAATGTATGTTTCAGTGATGCAATAGGCCTGCCACTTATAAATAAAACATCTGCAGATCTCACATACCCCCATAAGTATATATGTATGTTTGTAAGCAATAACACCACTCCAGGGTGTAGAGTCATAAAAATGAGGCCAAAGGGTGAGTGCCTGCAGTACCAGGGAAGTGTGCAGATTTATCTTTACAACTACATGCCCTCGAGTGTGCTGGGCCCCTTTTAAGGAGGTGTTTTGTAAAATAATTTTAAAATTATAGCTGCTCAGAGAAAAAAAAAAAAAAAAGAAAAAAAAAAAAAAGCCTTCCCACTTGTTAAACAAAATCTTTTGTTTAACACATTTTTTCCCTTATGATACTTCCTAGTCAATTATAAATGAACGTGCAGCAGCAAATGCTAAAGCTCAAAGCAAGCTGCTGCTGGAAGGAAGGAGCGACCCCATCACTGCCTGCCATGTGGCTGAGCCCCAGTAGCTGCTCTCAATTCCCTCCTGCAGTGGGATGGGTGCCCAGGACATGGCATGCTCCTGCAGCAGGTTTGCTGGGAGCTCAGTGGTTGCTCTCCAGACAAATTCTTTGCATTCCTGCACTTAGCCAGCCTTGTCAAGGAGCACTTTATCTGTAATATCCATATGTAAGAATACATGTTTTTCACAGAATCGTAGGGGTTGGAAGGGACCTCCAGAGATCATTGTGTCCAAGTCTATTTCTATATCTATCTACAGATATCTATAGCATCATAGAATCATCGAGGCTGGAAAAGACCTCTGTGATCATCTAACCTAACCCGTTGGCCCATCCCCACCAACAAAGCTACTGAACATGCATATTCACCTGTTCGTATACATTTCCGTGCTTAGTTGGAAAACAAGGCCAAACCAAAAGCTGTTAAATACCCTCTGAATTCTTAAATTACTGACCAAAACATCCTTTCTGTTTTCCCCTCTTCCGTTTCCTAAACTTCCCTTGTAATTCTGATGGATATCTCTGCGTTAACAAGCAGTGGGTAGAGTGATACAGATACTATCAGTGAAATTCTGGAGCTCTCAAGGTCAGCTTACCATTGATTTCAGTGAAAGCAGGATTTCACATTGTTCATTGTTTTGATTTAAAGGAAATGTACTGGCAAGGATGAAAGGTGTAACACATTATCATCGTTAGCTTCAGACAAAACAGCAGAGTGCAGATTTTGTCCCCTATGGACATTAACCGTACTGGAAGTCACTATTTTGTAACCAATTTAGTATAATTAAAGACTGGAAGCAAAACGAAGGGAGCAGAACATCAATCTTGTTCTGCTCTCCTGATAATCAGTGGATTGTTAAAGGCATTTTAAGAGCTGGCTCACAATACCTGGAGTGCCACATTGGTGACTCCAGCAAAGTCGTAGGGCTGCAGCAGGGATGCTTTTACCCTGCCTGTCATGTTAGGAAGGGCACTGTGCACATCTTCTTAGAAAACAGGGCCAAAGCCAAGGCTTTGTCAGCCTTCCTGGTACCATGGATATTCCTGTGGAAACAGGCACCTGATTTCCACAACAGCTGACAGAAATCAACTTTCTGTATCTACACTTAGTCTCTCTTCCCCATCCACACAAAAAATGCCTAACACTGGTTTCTCTGTCTGTATATATATATATATATATATATATATATATATAATCAGCAATTTAATTGTTTCACAGTATTTCCACTTCTTCTAGCAGACTTCTTCCACAGGAGTGCAAATGAGTGATTTCACCCAGCAGTTGGCAAGTGGTCCGTTCCAGAGGGGGAGTGATCTGTGTAATTCACTGGTGGTTCTTCTGAACCTTGTTCTTACTCTGTCTGCTCTTCTGTCTCCAATTTCTTCTTAAGAAGAGGAAGGCACAGAGTCAATGGAACTTGCTTGTGTTGCAGTGCTGTGGAAGTCTGAGCAGCATCATAGCGTATTCCTGCCTTTCTTCTCTTGCTTTCCACCAAGAAAAGGAAGATCTCAACAATTCTTTTCCTTAAAGATTATTTTTTCCGTGAGCTTACTGTTTGCATGTACACCACAGAGCTGTCTGGCTCTGCAGGCCAGGCTCGCAGGGGATCGCGGCACGCTGGAGCAGGGTGCCTGCATTGAGGGCGTGTGGTGGGGCAGCACAGGGAAGGTTCCATCTCCTTGTGCCGAGCGTATGGGTGGGCATCCACATGCTGGTGCAGCTCAGGAAGCTGTAGATCTGTCTGCATTTACAGTATTTTTCAGAAGCTTTCCATTCTAAGCTCTATTTAATGGAATCTATGCATAGTAAGTAATCAGGTCAGAGAGAAGCAACATCCCCTGTTTGAGATCAATCGCTGGCTAATACTTTATCTAGGCCACTTTATTATCTCATGCTGATTCCATTCCCATTCTCCTCCTCCTTTGTAGCGTGCACTTCAGCTGTGGTAAAAGTACGTATCGCATACATATTAAAAACATATACCCATTCTATCTGTATGTAAATGTGTGAGACACAGCTGGATATTGCAGGAGTTTGATTTACTAATAGTTATTATCTGTTCTTGCTGTTCAGAGGCAAAGAGAGTTTCAGAAAACAAGCTAGCGTAGAAATTGCCTTTATGATATCACTATCTGCTTTGGTAATTGTTTAAAATCTCTCCTTTAGCTGGAAACTTGGCCTTTCATTTTGCGGATTGTGTGTGCTTCTCAGAAAGCCAGCAGATTTGTAGGCGCCTCTTGGTTTTTGTTAGTACAGCATTGAACTCTACCATGCTGCATCTGGCTGTATAAACGAAGGCGATTTGCTTAAAGAAATTGTATTTGAAATACCAGAAGTCAAGTCAATATAAAAGTCATTCCTTTATGCTTTCACGTGAATGCATAAAAGTACAGTTGTTAAGATGCTGTTTGGGTTTCTGAAGGGAAGTATTGGATGGGGAGAGGCTATGCTTTTGGCCAAGGATCCGGACAGCATCCGCCCTGGATTCCTTTTGCACCGATCTTCTCATTTTTGTTTAGGTCCCCAAATCTGAATCACAGCTTCTAGCTTTTCTCCTTTTTAAAATTTAGATTGTCAGTGCTTCTTATGTCTGTGTTTTATCAATTCAGAATTGAGTGATAGGTTGCACCTCCTCTGTGTCAAAAAACCTATTGTGTTGAAAACTGACTGGTTGGTTGGGTGGTCGGCTGGCTGGTTGGTCGGCTGGCTGGGTGGTTGGTTGGCTGATTGGTTGGTTGTCTGGGTGGTTGGCTGGTTGACTGACTGGTTGGTTGGCTGGCTGGCTGGTTGGTTGGCTGGCTGGTTGGCTGGCTGGCTGGTTGG